TCAAACAAATTCAATGATTGCGGGGTAACAAATTAATAATTTAATATTGTCGACATTATCGAAAAGAAGCAAAGTAAATATCTTAAAATCCCCGACTTTTCTTAACTTGTAGCTCACGCTGTCCTCGGTAACAATAAAATAAATTTTAATAAAGATTCTAATGAATCGGTAAAACAACTGGTAATTGTTAAGTCAGAATTTCCATACAGTATCGGAATCGACATTTATCACAAGGAACGAGCGTGCCCACTGATACGACAGAAAAGAGAGATAAGCGATTGAGAGGGGAATTGCCTTGAAAGAACGTAAGCAAACAGCGAAAGTAACCGAAAGGGTTACCGGCAAAACACAAATCTCGAGCGTCGACAAACGCTGCAATTCCTCTTTCAATGCTACAAAATAAAAATATGACATTTAATAAAAAAAAAAATATTTCGTGGCTACACAGACCACGATAAATATGAGGTTGAAATTTCGAGGATAATATCAATGACCTCGAGAATTCGGTATTTCGTCAAACAAAAGATAATCGATAATGAGGCGACAATAAATTCCAAATATACTATATAGGAAAGAGGCAAGAGTCGCTAAATTACTCAGTTAAGACCATGATATTTCTAAGTCAAGGAAAACTCAATATCACAATGAGTCATTGAAATTTAACGTTAACAAAATTATAATGACTCTACCGAACGAGACTAAACAAACCAGAAATCGGAATACTCGAAAATGGCGTCAATGCCATGGACAATGAGTTCAATAATTAACAAGAACGAGAGATTCAAAAATGCTTCGAAATACAATAAAGACTTTTAATAAATCCACCGCTCACCGAACTTTATTCAATGAGGTCCCAGAGCAGTGAGGAATCTCCCAGACTCGTCTATATCCTCCGTGGTCTTTTCCTTTCGCCCGAGAACGTCTCCACAAAAATCAAAATTTACAACTAACAGTTTTGTTGTCACTGGTCCGGCGTCCAAACGAGAAGTCTTCGTTAACGCCGTAGCGACTATGCTCAACAGGTGACAAAATCAGACAACGACATGATTGGTCCGTCACCTTCGCGAGACTATCCGATTGGCCAATATTAATGTCGCCAAAGATAACAGAGGATTTTTCAAAAATAAATCCGTAATTGAGCCCAACATTCTAAGAAAATTAATAGCTGGACTCCCTTAATTGTCAATAAAAAATCAAGACAACAATCCGTAACATTTTCAAGAGTCTCGCAAAATAACAAATTATACAGCATAGATTTTAACGGTAATATAGATTCGCCGTGAAGCTCCAATTGTGAGTCCCATAATTTGCGGGCTCGGACGCTGGCGTCATCGCCCGATTCCTTCGTGCAGCTCCTCGTGTGTGGCGGAAAGCCCAAAAATATCCTCCGACAATTCGCGCTTCTCCATCTAGAATAAAATTGCGAGAGCACTTCCAAAAAGTCCCATGATGAGTCCGAAATGAGCGGTGAAACGTCACTCGATATAATAAACAAAATAACAAACGACAAAACAGAATCCAAGAGATTAAATAAAAGACAGGCTCTTGCCTGGCCAAGGATTTAGTTCTCGTCTGGACATCTCATAAACCGACGAACGATCGAAACAAAAATACGACGTTACAACATATAAGAAAACGACCCCCACCTCGACGACAAGTGATCGATTAATTGCGGATACTTCCCGGGTTCCCCCGATCGGTGACCCTCGGTCAGCAATTCGCTTGAGACTCTCCCAAATTTCACTCCTACAATCAACGTCCTAGTGAACGCGTCTTAACTTTTCGTGCATCTTTGAGTACGTTAACCCTCAACGTTTTCTCCCGAGCGTCTAACCGACGCCCAACGAATTTCTGGTTTCATTAACTTTATTCAATTGTTGAAACCAACGTGTTTTGATTCAAATTTAATTGCTTTCAAAGATTTCTCAACGCACATTGTATATTTTTACATATTTTTGATAACTGATCATTAAACGCGGAGTGCTTTACATCTCGGTTTTCAATTCATTTCATCTCCTCTTCCCGACATCATTTTCTAATTTGTCCACGCCCAACAACCCAAAATTCAACGTTCCTCACAAAACAATATTTAATGGAAAAATCCCCTAAACCCTATTGATTACCACATAATTGAAAAACAATATGTTTTGCCGAAAAATTCCGAAAATCGCAGTGATCGTCCTTTCCATTTCTGAGACTTTTGGAAACCCTATCAGGTGACAGGTCCACATATACACACATCTACTTGCGGTGCTCACGCAACGCTTTCCCCACTCTCACACAGCGCTCACTACTCACCTCAGATGAGCAAGGGTTATCACTTTCGACACCTGAGGCTCCATTTCCTGGAGAGCTCACTTTTATCCTATAGAGATAAATTAATTAGCTAGTGACGCACGCCACTACCTAAAAGCAATAAACTTTAATTTTTTTCTTTATTTCGAAATGTATTTACAATTCCCAAAATTTTGCCTGGGCGCCAGTCAGTGTAAAGGCTTATTGAAAGGCGCTGACTTTCCTTGGCTCTATCCAAAAACTGGAACTCAAAACTCAAAATCGCGGATAGCTCACTTGTGAAAATAGACCCCACTTGTTAGAAGGGGGGGGGGGGGCGATGCCCCCTGCCTGGGATTCTCCTCTATCTCGACAAAGAATAAACTGGCTTTCCAATTCAAGAAGAAAAATATTATAATTCACATAAGAAGAAAATTACACAGAAAACAATACCAAATCTTCATCTCGGGCCTTTGTATCCCCGTCATGACAAAAGAAATTAGCCCGGCACAGAAACGCAACTCAGATGATTTTTCTGATAATGAACAAAACTAAATGAATGGATATTTGAACTAAACAACAACATACTAATAGTAATTTTCATAAAAAAGCTTAAATCTAAGCTTTACTCTCACCTTTCGACGGAACCGTCGCATTTTCACAACGTAAGATGACGCCAGGACGGACGCCATTACATGGCCAACAACGTGCTCCTCAAAAACCTCTATAATTCCTCAAAACTCAAATGATTCGGCTCTGCCCACCTGTTTAGTCGCTCCACCACGTCTTTATCGGGGTAGGGCAGTAAACAGGACGCCAAAACTCATCAAAACTAAAGTCAAATTATGAGAACAATATTCTCACGTCAAAAACTGAACTTGACTCTACGCCGGCCGGGAGGCAACTCTGCTCAAGCTGAAGCCGATCCGCGTCACGATGCTTGAGCTTTTCGAAAGCAGCAGGCGAAATTTCTCAGAATTTTCCCTTACATGTTACATAGTTACATGTTTTCCTCGAAATCAAAATAATACTCGGAATTTGCAACATAAAATAAGCTTCCCTAAATTTCTCGGAAATTCCGAATATGAATCGAAAACAAACGCAAAATTAATTTCTACGATTTTTACAATATTTTCGTCGGTAACAGTTAAATAGATGCAAAAATAATTCTCTAAAATTTTTAGATAGTTTTTCCGGATTTTTCAAACAATTTTCAAAAACTACAACATTTCGGAGATGAAGCTGGAACGTGACGACGAGTCAGCTTCCTGGAAAATTCGTGAAAATTTTAGCGTTCTCGGAGGGAACTCCAAGTCGAATGATTTTCTTGCGACTTCCCGTGACGTCAGCTGTTCGGTTTTCGTAGAGTGCTTCCCTCCCGGTCGCTTCTCTGACCAAGGCGGCCTGAACCACGTACTTTCAGCAGCTGGAGTCGTTGGATCCTTGTGTTGGAGACATCTTTTGCGTGCATTTAATTTGGATGAGGAACGCTCCCGCTGGATCGTCTTTCTGATTCTCGTCATCGAAGTCATGTAGACTGCTCCAGATTTCGCCGAAGTCGTGACGACCCTCCATACTCTCGACGTGTCTCGATGTCGGGGATTTTGGCCCGACGAACGGTATTTAGGGACAATAAAAGTAAATTTGTTAACGCCGGAAGGATAAATAAATTTTCCTTCCTGACACTTGAGGTCGAGAGGAGTCTCCCAGAGGCCTCACACAAATTTTAATTTCCCTTCGAATAAGACTTATTGAAAAAAATAAAAAAAGAAAAAAAATATTTGCCTCGGTTGACTACCGAGGTCGTCACAAGGTTATGTGACCGCCCAAATAGTATCACCTGCGACATTGTAGCAGGTTTATCGGCCTCATTCGCATATCAATCGGTACGTAGTGTATACGCGTATTTCTCCAAACTGCTCACCACGCTTTTCTACGGAAAGTCAATTACATTTTTGTTTCTCGGAACAGCTCGATTTACGTCATCGTGTCCCGCTCAGTGCATATTGACTCAATTGTAAATAGCTCAGGGACATTAGTACAAATTAATAAATTCACTTCTGGTGATCCTATTATAAAAAGGACAAACATCGATACTATCGATATCTCGAAAGCCTGTCACGCTTATTCCTCATTTGTTCAGTCCTTTAAGGTGGCTATTTCAATTCACAAGTCATTGATTGTCATTTTTAATCATACGATTTTCATTTTTAATTGTCATAATGCTAAATTCCTTTCACTGATTACAATGAACTTATTACAAATTTTACCGTGATCATTTTGGAAAACATATTTTTGTTTTTGTCGTAATAAAGTTCGTTGTTCTGAAATGAAGGCCCAGTGCATTGTGGGTCCCAATTTCGGGAGACAGATGGCGCCATAGCTGACATGGATGGCTATAAGCGTTGAAAATTTCGATTCAATTTATTTTCAATGTCAAGCACTCATTTTTTTTAAATTTTCATGATCCTCATGATGAAATTATTCTGGCTTTCAATTTTTCAAAATGAACATTTGATTTTAACAAAATTTGCATAACAGTTTAACGAAATTCAATTTATAGTTATTAAGCCGCGTTTCCACATAATGATATCGTGTCTGTACCAAAAATCGATGGCCCAATCCATGATATATCACCTTCAATGACGAAGGGAAGTCATTTCCGGTCATGGTACGATCAGTGTCACACGTGTGGACATACATACACGTCGAGCTGTGTTTCGTAATCAGATTTTAAAAATGACATCGTCTACTATTGAGATGACGAGTGATGCAGAAATTGATGGTTTCGAGCCTGGAGACGCGAGCATGTAAGTATTTTTTCTTTAAAAATATAATTTCAAGACATACGTGTTGCAAGCTTCGAGACTGCCATGAGGATGCCTCATTTGATAACCTCGGTCTCTAATTATTCCATTATGATTAAAAATTATTATAATTAGTTCAATTGAAAAATTATTAAATATTGAAAGCCGATTTCTGACTGAAAATTCATCCATACTTTATAGTAAATAAAATTAATATGAAGTGTCTCAAAATTGTGACATTGAAATAATTTCTGTGATTCAGGGAGTTAATTGGCTACGTGGAGACTATTGAGGGAATGAGAGAGATACGTTCACCTCAAAAACATCTATTTAAGTTTATTATCAACAACGGTAATGACAAGCGAATGCGTGTATTGATGTGGGCCAAAGAAGCACTCAAGTATTTGCCCCAGATCACATTAAAACAGGTACGTTTCGTACGAATTTTCTATGATCTATTTTATTTGGAAAATATCACGCTTCCCTCTCCCATCGCTTCTATCCATATCAAAGGGAGTTCCAAGTGAGGAACAGTCGAATGACAATAAAAATGACAAAAGCAATAAAAATGAAGTATTTATATATAAAATTTAAACCAATATTTTTAATAAAAATTCACTATTTCATGACTCCGATAATGTAATGAGATTCTGCTGTAACAATTATTTTCTAGATTGTAAGCCTAACTATGGGGACCATCAGTGCTGTCAATCCAAAATTTAAAGGCTCATACGAAAACATGGCTGACACAGAATTCAACGTACAAACTACCAGTGACGTAACCTTCCATGGTGTGTATGGCGAGACTGCACAGTGCTTCCTTTCGTACGAAGAAGTTCCTCTTCAACGTGTTTCAACAATGACAATGCCCATGTGCATTGAAGCATTCTTACGTAGTCCATTTAAACTGGTTAGTACTATCAACGGAAGTTATGGGGCCGGATTGGTAGTGGACCCTAACTACAAATTGGCTGTACAAATAACCAATTTTAAAGACAATGAAAATCTGACTCAAGGAGTATGTCTGAAGTTAAAAGGTCAAATGGCTAAGAATAAAATGGGGGGACAGTTTTTTAAGGTGTCTGATATGGGGAATGAGAACGTTGTCGAGGGTAATGACAGTGGCTGATATGAAGAAGGCAATACTGTCAGCTACTTCAAAAACTCTCAAAAATGAAGGACTATCCACGTCCAAACGTTCCGCTGTCACTCTAGATGGAGATGAAAATCTATCACCAAATTGGAAAATCAAAAAAGATTAATCCGCATGTGATTTCATTTTTCGGACTCCATGTTAACGTCACAATCATAATGTGATAATCAATCATAATGTGATAAATAACATTGATATGTTGGATCAGGGTTTTTTAGTGTAAACTAAAATATTTTCATATCCTTGCTACTCATCGCATTAGAAGCAATTAAATTTTTCAACAAACACAAGGTTATCAACGTTCAATTTAAAGGAAATATAATTATGTTTCAGTATTATAATACGTAGGTAGTATCGAAGTTAAACCAAATTAATACTAGAATCGTTAACTACAGACTTTTTCTCCAGTTATGTTTAATATTGTATATCTTTGCCATTGCGTTGTTTATTTTTCTTTAATATTAAACGAAGAATAGTTGAATTAGTCAACGAACAGAAGGTTATTAACATTCAATTTAAAGAAAATATAATTATGTTTCAGTATTATAATACTTACGTAGTATCGAAGTTGAACCACATTAATATTAAGATCGTTAACTACAGACTTCTTCTCCCATTGTCTTTAATATTATATATCTTTGCCATTTGGTTGTTTATTTTTCTTTAATATTAAAGGAAGAATAGAAATATTTTAAGAAACAGTTATTATTTTAAGAAGATAACCTTAAGGGATAGTCTTATAATATCCTCAGTATTTTCTTTGCTTACATTTAATATTTTCTATCGTTACCATTTGGTTGTTTTTTTTTTTTATTAAAAGACAGACATACTTTAAGAAACTGTCATGCTTAATAAGAACATCAGTGTGAATTATTAGTCATAGAATGAAATGGTGCACCCAGTCTTGGAAATTAAAAAATGATTTCAGTACATCTATGACAATATTAACATTTTATTCAATTTATGTGATGTATCTTTAACAATATTCGACAAATGATAATAAACATTTTTTACTTACACTGTTTTTCAATATACACTACAAACTTAAATTACAGGATGAATCTTTGTATATCAGCATATAATTATCGTTCTATGGAAAATCAATCAGGCAGACGGTAATTATGTGTCATAGTGATTAAAGCATCCAGCCGGGTAGGTATGGTGAATCTTCCCCCATTGAATTTCTCATATTTGTCTTTTTAGAATAGATTCCAACCGACTAGAATAAAGATCATAAGTCCTTCGAATAAAACTATTCAATTTAATCAGTGTTGTTATAAATAATCAAATTAATTTATTCTTCAATCAATCAATTATTAATAGATAAATTTTCAATACTTTCAGAAAAAAATTGCATATTGACCTCATTTTGACACTGCATGAAAATCATGAAAAAGTTTGACTTATGAACGAATATTAATTGTTTTTCATATGAAAATATATTTCTGTAGTACTATGGATTTTATAAAATTGATTAATTACTTAATTTTTATGTTGGCTCCGTCTATACCAAAACTTCCTTCGTTTTTTTTTAAATTAATAAGTAAACCACACCTCGGGTCTCTCTAAACCCCTTGACTGGGGTGCGGAGAGCGCGGTTGAGCCACCAACCGAGCGCGTCTCCGGGTGGTGGATAGGAGGACGGCCGGGCGGAATAACCACCTCGGCGGAGGCCGGGACAGAAATGTCTCGAACTCTGCGTGGGGTTGGCTAAAAACCAGGTTAATGGGGAACAT